CCCCCGCACTGCTCACGGCTGGTCAACAGAACCGAACTCTCTAGCAGGTTACGACTGACAAAACGATAAGCCAATCAGAAGACAGGATGTCGCTCTGGGCGGGCCTTGCCTCCCGGACACAGTACGGGTCCTTTTGCGTGCTGCGATGGGCAGCGGGCCGTCAGGTTCCATCCTCGTAGTTTCTCTGCAGACTGATGGCTCTTTCCACTCACCTCCCTTTTGTATTGACACCGACGCCGCGCTTCCTGATCAGTTCATCCAAAGATAAATCCGCCATATTTTCTCTAGGCCCGGAGAAAAGTCGCAGCGACCGACTCCCGGACATGAGATGTAACCACTTCCGGTCTCAGGCTTACGCCCGTTTGTCTCGGCTTCTCGCGGCTTTAAACAAATCACGCGTAATAAGGGATTGGAGATTTCCCATAAACCAAAGCGACACCATTTTAATTTGCATGTACAAAATGAGCTATTAGATGCATAACTTTTACAATTTTAAAACATTTTTCTATATTAGCGAGTCAGTGGTAAATAATAGAGATTTAAATTGTTAGAGTCGTTTTTCTTTTTCTTATACAGTTCACCCTAATGTTGAACGACCCTGTTGCCAATCACCTTTCCTCCTCTAGCGGAGAACGGCATGCCTTAAACTTATGAGTAAGGAAAATAACGATTCGGGGTGACGCCCGGGTCCTCACTAGCAATGTGAGAGGAATTTTTGAGCGGGTACAGGTCGTCCCCGAGGTGACCCGCCTACTTAGTGGGATGCCTGGGTGTCATGATCTGCCCGAAACTCTATTGTGAAAATATAAAAAATAAACGCATTATGGGATTGGAGATGTTTGGTATGCTGAGTTTACTTTGAATTTATGTAATCCCTCCTATTAATTTACTTCAGTTATAGGGATTACAGGCCAATCAAATCCCTATTTAAATCCTACATTAGTCCACCCAATCTTTGCATCTGAACGAAGTGTATGCCTTTTAATAATAATGTACTTGGAGAAGATGATATCCATGCTGCTTCTGGTTTGCCAGCGGAGACCATAATGCCTCACCTACAATGAGATTTCCTAGTGTTTCAAGGATTAACCACGCACTATTTATATCCTGGAGAAGAGCTCAGGTCTGCTGGTATTGGACATGGTAAGTGGTAGTAATTGGAACATGAAAAACATTTACCATTCTCTAATTATTGTGTACTATCAGTAATAAATATATGAGCCTAGTTGAAGTTATTTATCCATTTTTTAGAATAACAATAGTGTATATATATATATATACAGTTAAGTGTAATCTTATTCAACAAGCCATGACTCCTATTTTTTCACTGCTTAACATAATGCCATTTTAGCAAAATTCAGTTCATATCAATTCTTTACCAATTCTCTCTCATCTATTTAAAAAATCTCAATGGGGTAGAACAGAAAATAAATCTTCATGATTAATTTATGAGGGAGAGGGGAAAAGGTAAAACCAGGTAAAAGATGTATCAAGTGCTGCTCATGGCAAAATATTACTTGGTTCCCACTATATACAAGCAAACAACCAGAAATAGTATTCATATTTTGCATTTTCTTGACTGCATTGGTACCTAAAACAACATGGAACCTCAAGTGTTAGAATTATGTCACTTTTGCTACTATAACTGTAGGTACTATAATTCCCCCCCCCAGGTTTTTCTTTGCTCATAAGAAGTAAACCAATTAGTTTTTTCCCCATATTTTAGGATACTCTTACTATATATGCTACACCTCATGCTTCACCTTTTATGAGTATTAAAACAAATAGTTCAATTGAATAAAACACAGGCACCGACAGAAATAGAGGAATTGAGAGATTTGCAAAATGAAAGGACATTGATCAGAAAATTAACACGTTGTTCAAAATTTAACTTTTAAAAAATGACTTCAGTGAAATTGAATACAGCAAACTATGACTTAAAGACTTCAAATCAGCAAAGATAAATATGAGGGTGAAAGTTCGTTCTCCAAGCTTGTGGGTTGGTTTCCAAATGTTTCCTTACCAGGTAAGTAACATCTTCAGCAGAATTTAGATGTCAGTGTGATGAGTTAAGTGTGGTGTCAAATGAGGGTCTTATGATGGGTCAGTTGTGAGTCATCAGAGTCCTGTGATAGAGAAGTTACATCCATTGAGTGTCAATAGGTGGTGGTGCTGGGGGGGGGGGCTTGTGTAGGTTGGTTGAGGGTGGATGTCTCTGGTTGGCTGTGCAGTTGGATTCTGAGGGGTCCATAGGCTGGTTATAGATCAATGTGTCTGTTGATGGAATTGCTTGTGGAGTGCCAGGCTTCGATGATCTCATGAGCGTGGCAGGTGGTAACGTGGCCGATGTTTTTTGTGTTACTCCAGTCAAACTGGTGCTGGTGTCAGTGTGGGTAGAGATTAAGAATTTGGGATCATGGCATTTAACTACCAGTCAGTGTTTTTTAAGGGATCCTGTTTTTTAATTGATGTGACACTTATCCCACATAGAATTGGTTGCAATTGTTAAGTTGGTTTTATAGATTATGAAGTTTTTTGGATAGCTGTTACAGAGAAAGACATCAGTCATTTCTCTTCCACTTTTACTACAGCACCATAAATGTTATGGTGCTGTAGTATGTTCTGGCCCTTCTGAAAAGGGTCTGGACAGTTTTTGTGTGTGCAGTGGGATGGTGGTTTGAGAAGCTGAAGAACTGGTCTGTGTCCATTGGTTTGCGGTAGACATGGGTGTCCAATTCTCTGTTGTGTCATATCCTTATGCCGATGTCTAGGAATGGGAGTCTTGTCTGTTTCCTCTTTGCATGTGAATTTGATCCCAGGGAATGTTATTGATAAGTGGTGTGTTTCTTCAATTTGGGAGTGTTTGATGATAACTAAGGTGTCATCAACGCAGCACCCCAGAAGTTGGGTTGGATAGTGGGTAGAGCTATGGATTCGAACTGTTGTAGGACTGCTTCTGCTATTAGGCCTGATAAGGGTGATCCTTTCAGGATACCCTGTACTTGCTTATAGATTTTCCTGTTGAAATGTGTTGAGGCATAGCTCCAGGAGTTTCATGATGGTTTTTGTGGACATGGTGTCTGTGGTATCATCATCTTTTTGGATATGGTATTTAGTGAGTAGGTGGTATATGCTTTGTGTAGCCAGGTCGATGTCAATCGAGAGGAGAGCTGTGATGTCAAAGGAGACCATTTCTTTGTTGTTGATTTTGGTGTGCTTGATGCATTGGAGAAATTGTTTTGGGGAGTTTGAGTGGGCTGAGTCATTGACCAGATGTCTCGAGTTTCCTCTGTAGGGTTTTTGCTAGTTTGTTCCAGGGAGACACACAATGGGGCATGAAGAGATCCCATTCTTGCATATTTTGGGGAGTCCTTAGAACCTGGGTGTGGAGGAGCCTTGTGGTTGCATGTGCTTTCTCTCTAGTGGTGCTAGCCATTTTTCTTTTTTCTTAGGGTGTATTTTATTTTGTTCTCTAGCTGTTTTGTCACATCATTGTTCATTATTTGGTAGGTGTTGGTGTCATTTACATGGATTTCAGCTTTGCTGATGTCAGTTTTGTCCATTACTGCCTTTGTCTGCTGGTAGGACGATCATGCTTTCATCTTGTTTCAGTATCTGTAATGCTCTCTTCTCCTTTTGGCTGTGTTTTGTTTTCTGTTGCATTGCATGTTGGAGATGATTTATTGTCTGATGTCCTTTCTTGGTCCAGGTGGTGCGTTTTTAAAATGGATTTAATTGAGGTCAGCACAGTAGAGAAATTTAAATTTTTCCCTTACCGGTTCTGTGGCCATGGTTTGGTGGCTGTTGTCATGTGACTGAGTGGGTGTGGTCAACTTTGCAGCACTCATGGCAAGCCACCAAGCCACGCCCACAGAACTGACAGAACCGTTCAGCCGGCCGTCTTCTAGCTTTCAAGCTGGCTGCTTCTCACCTCCTGCTCATGTTTGCTGTGTGTATGAGCCCGAGAAGGAATGAAGGAGCCACGATGAATGCTGTGTCCGAACTTTTCTCCCTACCTGCAGAGCTGCTCAGAAGGCAGCCACCGACTGCAGTCCTTATAGTCCCCCCCTCCATCCCAGAATTGTACCTTAAAGACTGTGGCCAGGGGCTGTCTTCTGAGCATCTGGGCTGTGATGCCATCCCTCTGGCTGCTGCTGTTGTCCTGCCTGGGTCAGGCAATGGGGTGTGTGCGCGCAGCCAGAACAGAATGGCGGCTACTCACACACACACCATTGCCTGCCGGTGCCGCTCGCAGATTGACCCGGGCAAGACAACAGCAGCAGCCAGAGGGATGGTATCACAGCCAAGATGCTCAGAAGGCAGCCGAAAACAACCGCCTATGGTGAACGAGCAGCCGGAAGGGGTGAGTGGCGACCGGGTGGGGATGTGTGTAGCCAATTGGGTGATCTTTATCAGATCAGTAAACCACTTCAAACTGTCCCTACCGGTTCCCCCGATGTGGTCAGATCCAGTTGAATTTCACCCCTGGGTCAGCTTATTTGTGGTTGAAATTGAGGCCTTGTGTGAGGACAGTCTTTTTGTTGTCACAGACAACAGATAGAACACTGACCCGGACATCCCCTAAATTCCCCTGAAGATGTTATCTAATCTGGTAACAAAATATTCATAAACCAACCCACAAGCTTAAAGAACCTTCCCCTAATTCTACACCTGAGCTATAGATATTCGCCATGTTGCAAAGATAAATATTTATATCATTTCCTGCAATTGGAAAAAGCAGTTTATAATTTTTGTCCAATATATAAAGTTGGAATCATATAATTCCACAGAATTACAAAGGCAAAAATGTTGAAAGGAAAACATATAATGTTGACTGACATGAAAAGCAATGAAAAGTTGTCTAAGGAATGTAAAAAAATCTCATCCTGACATCTCTGAGGGAAGCCTATAAGGTGAGACTAAAGAACATCAACATTACTATTATTTAGAAGCTATTCTAAAGCATTTTTCAGATTTCGAGTAAAAAAAAATCTATTCGATTGATAGTTTAAGTCTTTTTGTATTTATGCAATCCTTTTAAGCTTTCCTAACTTCAGCCATTCTATAAAAAAGCTACAAGGTACATAATTTCAAAATCTACTGGTCAGGAATTGTTTGACTATATGAAAAATACTTTTGACATGTAGCTAATTCAAGCAGTGATTATTGAAACATTCCAAAAATAGATTATTTTACATTTCCCCGTTACATTTTCTTCTCTAAGGTAACATGAAGCATATCCTGAAGGCAAATTGTTGTGAAAATGAATAGATTTTTCTCATTTTTAATAGTATAGTTATGATCATTCAAGGAAAGTGAATGGTAGAATATTTAGAAAAAGATATTGCTTTATAGAGTATGAATTTGCTTTCACTACTTTTGGTGAAGGTCACCAAAAAGTTCTTTTTCAAACTTTCAAAGATTATAAGAATGTGCAATACAAGGCTATCAAAACCTATTTTGGAATAATGTCTGTATATTTCCAGAAGAGCATTTCATACCTAACATATGGAATTATGAATGTAATATGCAAATAACATGTTCCTGATATACAGAAACTGTCTAATTCATTAATATGTATCTTGTATACAGTCAAATTTAGCTTACATCTTAAACGCAACTTATCCAAACAAAATACTGGTATCATTTGCTACCTACTAAATTTAGAAAAAAATTAAAACAAAAAAGGAGCACTCAATTATTAATTGAACCAAATAGCAATCCCAGTTTAAAGAATTTGTTTTAGTTATTAAATACTGATAAATAGCTAACACACAAACTTATTAAAGAGCTTTTAAATAGATAAAATAGATAGAGTTAAGAAGCTGAACTACCATCACCAAGATCAGAATAAAGTATTTTTGAAAGGATGTTATGAAAAAGTCTCTTTTCCTATTAATTCTACAAAATGATAGATTTTACCCAATTATATATTGTTAAATATTTTACAAGCTCATTTTCGACAGCAATAATATTGGATGTATTAGTTTGTAAACAATTTTTTAGAGAAAATCTGTTATTTTATATTAAATATATACATTTAGATAATGCTGGATTGCGTAAATTTTGAAATAAGTGCAAGGCACTATATTCTGAGGAAGGGTATGCATCTGTTACTGAAAATAATTTTTTATATCTACATTGAAAAAAATCCAACTTTTACTTTGTAAATTTAAAACACCACAATAGCCCTGATTAACATATTAATTAACTATTAGATTGATCAACTAAGCATCATTTGACAATAATGAATTTTGTACTTGTCATTGCAAAGAATTAAAAAAAACTTGTTGGGATTAGTTAATCATCTAAGGACAGCAAGGAAAGAACAAAGTTAGTTTGCTGGTTTCACTGATATAGTTTTGCTTAACTTTGAGGAAAAAGTTCATTGTTACAAAAGCTATTAAACTATAAAAAAAGAATTTAAAGCAGTTTCAGCTCCAGATCCAGATATTAAATTTTGTGACAAATTAATGGAAGGTGTTTATACTTACTTGGATTGTTGATGTATATTTATACAATGTTATCTTTGACAATAAATTTCTCTACTCTGACTAAAATATCTGTTGGAATGTCAGTGTACAATTCAGTAGTTAACTTACCTCCTCAAAGAAAGCTGTATTCCATATAGAAATATGAGTTACATACAGTACTTTAGACTTAGTCTGTGTTCAAAAAAATTTCAGTACACTCATGAACAATGTGTATACGATATTTCCAGATTTAATTGAAAAAAGTATCAATGTTAGAAGCATGCACTTCAATTGTTAAGAGGGAGTGGGAACACACAGCTATTTCACTGGACAAAAAATATTTTTTTGCTTATTTTATTATTGTTTGCTGTTTACAATTAGGGATGTGCAGTTAACACACCACAAGGAAAGTAAAAACAGAAAAATCATTTTGAAAGGAAAAACAAATATACTGAACATAGATCAATTAAATTGTACAAAGACATGGGACTGGCTTTGATTTCAAAGTTTCAATTTTTTTTAAAGGATGAAATGCAACAGCTGTTTGACTTCCAAGTCTAAATAGGCACTGTAAAAATAAAATTCAAAAGTTGTCATTTTCTTCAGCACATGTCCCCAACCTAAATATTGCCAAACATATTCAGTTTTCAAGAAGGAGCTGAGAACTCAATCTTCTGGTGGTAATAAAAGCCTGGAACCCACTCAACCTCTTTAAAAATGATTCAGTGCTGCTGTTTGACAGAATAAAACTAGAAGAGCTTATAAAGGTTTGAAAGCATCCAAAGCAAAGAGCACACTATAGTTTTGTTCACTATAACCTGCATTGGAGAAGAAAACATTTAAATCTATTATGTTGGTACATAAACCTGGTATCTTGAAGATAGATCTTTGAAAATATGTCTTACAAGTTTACTGGAGGAGAAGAAAAAAGGAAACTGCTTCACTTATCATCAATTGAATTATCAATGGAAACGGATCAATTCAGACTTCATTATAACCATGTTTATACACTGTACATCTATCCTAGATGGATAAACATTGGAATTGCTCACTGGTGTCCCTTTTAATAACTGTAAACTAAACCACAGTATGCAACTTCATAGGAAGGTAAAGGATCAAGTGAATGTACAGCCAGTTATATCTCTCCTGCTTCACGCTCCTCTGAGCTTCTCCTGTCTTCTGATCGACCATTTGCACTTTCATAAGATCGCTTCCTTTCTTTGCAGTTTCGATCTCTTGGAGATTTTTCTCTGGGGCAACTTTCTTTGTCACGTGATGTTCTGTTACGATCTCTGGTTCGTTCTTGATCTCTGGAAGATCTTTCTTTCGATGATCTGAAGAAAAAATTATTGCATCTGAAAATGTACATTACTTTTTGATTTTAACTGTTCATTGAAATGTGTTTTTCTGGATTTGTTGTTGTTATTCTGTCTCTCACTGTTAAAATAAACCTACCATTAAAATTATAGGCTGATCATTTCTTTGTCAGTGGGAAAACATACAAAATCAGTAACGAATCAAATACTTTTTCCCCGCAGTGTAAGTAACATGCTTATAAAAGTTAAGGCTGAACTAGGAGATCAGATTTGAAGTTTTGACTAACTGAATAAATGCGAAAAATATCAAAAGAAAAAATAGGTTTTGAAATGTAATTTTAAGGAAGACTGAATGCTGAAAAAATACCTAAGACTTGATTAATTCACCTGAGACTGGCTTGTAAACAGAAATCAACCAAAATTATATAGCCAAATTTAATTCTATCAATTTCTGGTTATACTGCAATTTATTTCTGTAGCTTTGAAGACCTTAGTTTGTAAAGTTACTACTTCAGGTATTAATTTTATTACCTACTTTAATTAGGTAAGCGAAGACTAAACACATACTGAATATAAACTGACATAGCACATTTAAATGAGTTGAAATTATTCAAGACTGAACAAAAAGTCCCAAAGTGGAATATAAAATTAAAAATACTTGCTGAATTAAATTAAAAAATGTTACAAACCAAATCATGGTAGGAAATTGAAATTTAGGCTACACTCTTATACTCACTTTTTGGTATTGCTTTTGAATTTATTGATGTTATTGGTGTTCCCTTCCAATATAAATATAGAATTTTATATTAAACCCTTAAAAAAGAACTTGTTGCAAAATATCTCCATTTGAGTCTACAGCTAGTTTTTGATTTATGGCTGTTTAACAGCTGTCTCAAAAAGGAACTTACAACATGTACTGCCATTTAAGGCTGTTGTACCACCCGTTTGGCCATGTAATTACAATTCAGCATTTGGACAATCTGTGTTTATGACTGGTTCCATCCTTTGGATCACGTCACTGCAATTTGCTATCTTTTTTGCCAATTTCCAGCAAAAAAAAAATCATTGGAGAAGCCAGACCATGTGATTTGTTTAACGACTGCTGTAAAAATTGTTGTAAAATGGGGTACAACTGAATCTATGGCTGCACAACTTACAATGGAAATTACCAGTCCCAAGTTTGAGCTTAATTTGATGGCTACCTGTATTCAGTTTTCCTGGGTTTTTTAACTGACAAGTGAGAATGTAATTTCTCACTGTATTTTTTGGAGTATAAGACACACCTTTTTCCTTTAAAAAAGAGGCTGAAAATTTGGGTGCTTCTTATACACCGAATACAGCATTTTTGGCCTCCTGGAACCCCGTCCCCTTCACCAAAATGGCCGTGCATAGCTTGTAGGAGTCTTTCAGGGAGGGCAGAAATGAGCAAAAAATGGGCTGTTTTTTGCTCAATTTTGCCCTCCCCAGCCCCCAGAAGCACTCTATAAGCTTCCTAATGCCTTTGGGAGGGGGCATTTTTTGCTAGTTTTTGCCCCCACTCCCAAGGAGCACTCTATAAGCCTCCTAAGGACTATGCATGCCCTTTTTGGGGGGGGGGAAGCGGGGCTGTTTTCATGAAAAACGGGTCATTTTGGGGAGGTTTGCAGAATGCAAAAACTTTAAAATTTGCCTCTTCAAAACCTTAGTGCGTCTTATACTCCGGTGCGTCTTATACACCGAAAATACGGTACTTATTAGAGTAGGGGTAGGGGTGAATTTGTCTCCTGAGATTTCTTCCCATTTCTGCAAACCTTGTCGATCTTCCAAGCATGCTGATATTTCCTTGTTTGATTATAGCTACCCTACGTTTGCACCTGAGATGACTATAATTAAAAGCTTTTGAAGTATACTGTTCCAATGTACTTATATTAAACAAAATAAAAAAACCACAGCTACTGTTGAAGATAAGATTGATGGCCTAGTTGCAATATTTTCTAACAAAATGCCAACTAAAATATTACCTTTTTTTGGAATTGGGTTCTCTGCTTCTGTCTCTGGAGCTATGACTGCTCCTTTGGTGACTGCGACTGCGGCTGCGACTAGTAGAACGAGACCTATGACGATGTCGCTTTTCACGGGACCTGGAACGGGTTCTTTTCTTTCGGTCACGGGAGGATGACCGAGATCGATGTCTACGGCGATCTCGGGATCTAGATCTGAATTTTTTTTTATACAATGGATGAGAAGAAATCCTTAATTCAATTAATCCCTAACAATTCGATTAGGCAAGTCATAAAAGGAAAATAACTTACTGGAACAATCACTTTTGCCAAAATTTTGAAAAGTTTGGAGACTGCTAAAGTGCTTTGTATGAAATAAGGAGTTATTTAATATTGAAGTTTAAAAGTGTTGGACGTTTAACGGTGATTGATTAAAAACAAATAAAAACAACACTCTTGTTACATGCCACTGGCAAGACTCTGGCAGGTATATGCGGTATTAAGCAGACACATCAGAGGAATTTCTAACTTAAAATAAGTCACAAGGAAATTGAAATAGAACATTTTAGATCTAGATATAAACCAATTTTCAATGGTCTAAAAACAGTAATCAGTTCAATTAAATAGCAGGTGACAGCAGCTAACTAATTTTGGATGAACTTGTACAAACTAAGAGTTAGTCCTAGGCAGAACCTGGAAGAAAGACCATTAGGAAATTCCAAGGCTATAAGTAAAACCTGCACATTAACAAAAACGTCAAATGCAGCAGTAGCAAATCTATTTCTATTCTATTCTATTACCAAGGAAAAAATACATGAAACATACACTGTGTGCACAACTATTAGGCAAACTATATTTTTGAGGATTAATTTTATTATTGAACAACTACAGTGCTTTCAGTCAATCCAAAATGTTAGTAAACCTGAATATTTAAAAAAGTAAAAGTGAGGTTATGGCTTTTTTAGGAGAATATCTATGTGTGCACAATTACTGGGCAACTATTAGTGTGCAATAATTGAGTCCCATTACCGTCGCCGCCCTGTTCTTTGCGTCGGCCGCACACCCCATTGCCTGCTGCCGGGCAAGTCCCCCCAGCGCAGCAGGCAATGGAGTGCGCATGTGCGGCTGGCACAAAGAACAGGACGGCAATGGCGGTCATAGTACTAAAGCTCTTTTTCTGTGCCTTCAAGAAGCAGAAGCTGGTAGTTTTCTGCACAAGAAGCCTGCAGCCTCTGGCTCTTTTTTGGCATAAGAAGACTCCAGCCAGCTGCCACTGCCGGCTCGGTTTTGGCTGGCAAAGAGGCAGCAGCTGAGAGGCTTCTTGCACTGAAAAAAAGAGGAGGTAGCTGCAGGCATCTCGCGACAAGGGGAGCAAGATGCGGACTGGCAGTGAGTCCAGCGGCAATGGCTCAACTCTGGCTTGTCTTCCCTGGCAGCCAGCTGTAGGAGGAAGGAATGGTTGTGGGACGAAGAAAGAGTGGTCGTGGGGGAGGAAACGGGGAGATTGAGTAAGGACCGGAGCCTTTAAAGGAGGGGAAATTGGGTGACACATGGCGAAGGGAGAGTGGGCAGAATGCAGGAGGTGGCCCTGGGAAGGCTGGAGCTGGGGAATGGCTCATTTCCTGACCCAGCCAAGGCGAACGATGAGCAGATGGAGGCTCTGGGGCCTTGGGGAATGGCACGTCCCTGGGCCCCAGCCCCTGACCAAAGGCGAATGGCGAGCAGGCAGCATGCTACCTTTGGTGAGCTGAGCAGAACGGCGAGAGATGGAGGTGAATGGCGAGGCGATTAGCTGGGCTGCGTGGCAAAGACAACATGTATAGGGTGGGTTGAGAGGCGACCGGGCCAACCAGAGGTGGTACTTGCTGGTTCAGCGAACCAGTTAAAATTGCTACTACCAGTTCACCCGAAACGGTCCAAACCGGCTGAACACCACCTCTGATCAAGCCCCAATATTTTAGCAATTTCAGAAGTGCTGCATCCCTCTGGAAAACTTTTTTTTTAATTTACAATTTTTGACTTTTCAGATTCAGTTAAATTTTTTTAGCCCATTTTGCCTGAGGAAAAGAAGCTGCCTAATCATTATGCACACTTTGATATAGGGTGTTGATCTCCTTAGGCCACATTTTCCCTCATTACACAAATATACATCACCTGATAAGCTTATGCCAACTAAGCATTCAAGTTTATACAGCTTGGAGGTGGAAAATATGCATAAAAATGATATGGTCAAAATACTCACTTGCCTAACAATTGTGCACACAGTATACATACATACAGCAGGAGTCAAATGTGAATCTAAGTAGTTTCTGTGAGGTCTTTGGTGCTCTCTGGATTTTGTAGTTTTCTTCCAGACGTTTCATTACCACAATGAGCTAATTAATACAATGAATGCTGATGATGTTACCTAATTTGGTAATGAAAGATGTGCAAGAAAAGTACCAAGTACTAAGAAAACACATGACCTCAGAAATAGATTCCAGAGATAGATTATTAAGCTCTTTTAGAAGACTAATACTTGGGGGATGGGGGTCTTGGATTGAGATTGGCATCTGGAAGCTCAAGCAGAAATTTTGATAGAACCTTTCAGCCATCAAGTTGATATGTCAATATGATCCATTCCTCAGGTATCAGACCTGGATCCAATAAAAATTGCCTGTTACATCCAGCCAGAATGGCTCAACTTGATGTTATCTTTGGGGTCTTCAAAAACTATGCAACAGTGAGCATTCGCTTGCTGGACAATAATTCATTAGTACATAATAGCTAATTGTACTGCACTGATTACTAGTTTGCTTCCAGGTCCAACCCATAATGCTGTGTATGACCTTTAATAAGTAGATCAAGACACTTTAGTAACCCCTCTTTCCAAACCAGTTTATGGGCTCCCTGAAATCTGACAAGGTGCCAATCTGTATCTTCCAGGAGACAAAGAAATGGCTTTCTTAGTGGCTGGACTAAGTAATGCACTTCTAGCTCAGGAAGATGAACTGGCACTCCCTCTAGTGGCTTTTCATTTTTAGGTAGGCATTTATATTCATGTAAATTTGTAAATTTATATTCATGTAAATTTTAGAAAGTCTAAATCTGCCTATTTTATAAGTTTTATTAGATTTATTTAAAAACTCTCCTGACAAATAATTGTCTCAAGTATTTACTGTATGTCATATAATTATTATAGTACAAAAAAATCACAATGGGTTCGCTTTAAGGAAACCTTTTTTAATATTTGATAGATATAACTTTATTTTCACAGAGAAAAAAAGACCATCCTACCTTTTGGGGTTCTTGCTGTGAGAACGAGATCTAAGAATAAAGAAAAAATAAAGATGAATTTATATAAATTGCAAATGGAATTATCAACTGCACTATTAAGATGTCTCATAGAACATAACCACAAACATTTGTAACAAATTGGAGCTTTACTTTTCAAATGTCAACTATTCAAAATAAGTATTCCAGGGAATCTTGTAAATGTAATAATTCATCAAGTGGTTTATTTCACATTAATATCATTATAAATAATGATATAAATCTTAATGAACATATTGGGAAATATAAATATAAATATGAACATTATTTCAGGATTGATATATGTATTTAACATTTATTTGTATTTTTATCAAATTTAGAAATTGTCCATCTCCCTCACAAAGCAATTAATATCAACTTACAAGTAGTCCTCGACTTACAAGTCTCTTAGCGACCGGTCAAAGTTACAACAGACACCCCAACAGGTACTTATGTCCCAGTTCCAAAGTTATGCCTGTATACCAATCAAGCATGGAATACAGCAAAAAAAAAATTAATTATTTTACTTTGGAAAGATAGCAGTACCGCAGACGCATAATCTTGGATTGATTACATTTGTTCACTCTCTGCTTATAAACTGGTTGGGTAATGATATAATGAAAGATTGAACAATGGTATTCCATGGGGGTCACATTTTAATGCTGTTTATAATAGCTGAGTTGCTTTCCATATATATTATAATATGTTCTTGCTCTTTTTTCTTTCCTTTGTTTTCTGTCTTTCTGATTACTAAAGCAATAAAAATAAATCTAGAAATCACACACTAATGAAAACATTCAAAAGTCTATGTGCATATTTTACTTCATCAAAGCAAAATGTTTTGCATTCTAAAGGTCAAGTACATGGGAAATGTATCAAACTAATATTTAATTTCATTTTTATTTTTAGCAGCAGCTTGAAGCTGTGGGATCAATGTATACTTTATGCACGATACTTAATTATAAAAGCAAAGTTGAATGTTAGTATGACAATAAGAAGTAATAGAGTTCCACCTTCTTAACTTCTCTCTTTCTTCTTTCTCTCTTTCTTCTCTTCGCTTTAAACGTTCTTGATTTCGTTTCTCCTGTTTGTCAGCCACAATTCTCTGAAATCATTTTAAAAATAAAGATCAGAATTTTCAAATATTGAATTATTATATAAACCGGGCTTTGAGCCCTTTGAAACTGGGCCATGGAAGTGGCGGATGAGCACGTGCACGCATCTCCACTTGCGCAAGTGGCAAGCAAGAGAGCATGCACACTCCTTTTGTGTAAGTGGCATGCATGCTTGCCTGCTGCTTGTGCACATAGAGAAGCATGCACTTGCACGCTGTTCATGCAGAACCATCCCCTCTCTTCCTCCCCTTCCTCTGTGGCGGTCCACAAACCTGGAAAGGTTGGGGAGCTCTGATATAAACCATTAAATATATATATGTATGTATAAGACAAAGTTACTTTTTCTCACCAATTGGCAGCATTATTCTAATGTGATAGCACTGCAGGTTACATATATCATATAGGAATATATAGGGAACATGTATACTATCCCAATATCATTGTCAATTACTTTACCATCTTTTTTTATAAACTTTAACTGAAGTCACACTCACATAATGAAAAAAGCAAATTAATTTTGGTCCATAGTTACCGAAAATTAAAATCTAATCACAGAGAATAGCTAAAAGCAGCAGGAAAATAAATGACTATAAATAAAATGTCAAAGTCAGGCTATAAAGCAATATAATTCTTTCATAAACATATACTAATAGTTTTGCTAGATCAAGGTAGTGTCATCTTAATCCAGCATTTTGTTTCACATTATGGACTCTGGGGTACTCAGAGGCAATAGATGGACTAGATATACCCTTCCAATCCTCTGCTACTATGTTTGATTTGAATGATAAGAGAGCATATGATTATGATAATACAACTTGTATTTTGATTCTTTGTTTACATTTATTATTTTAATCTTCATAAGGATTATAATCTGCTCAGTACCTCCCCTTTAGCAACTCAAGATGGTAGATAGTAATCCCCTTTCCCATTTTTCTCTACAACTATTTGAGATTCATTATTGGGAACGGACTTGAAGGTCTGGTCCTAATTCAATATTCCAGCTCTTTAATTCCACTTCTTGGCTCATAGACATGTAACACAGGGCACACTCTTTAGAGATGTCCAAAATGTTTAAATTTTTGAATAGGACATTTTGAACTCAATAGTATTTAGAATGTGAAACTATTGCCTATCTTTACTACACACAATGTCCTTGTTAAAAATATTGGTATGATTTTTAAAAAAATATAAAATGTTATTAAAATTACCTCTAGAGAGATAAAAATAAGTTTAAAAAAACAAATCAATAAAAAATAGAAAGTGCAGAAAAGGAAATATTGTGAAGAAATATGTTAAAAATGAATTCCCTCTTCTTTACAAGTATAAGCAAATTTAGTAACTTATCACTTAAAAAAAAAATGCAACAAAGAATCTCTTCTTCCACATACCTTCTCTTATCTATAAACAAATTCTTAAAGGCTCCCCATTTTAGTCCTCATCAGCATAAGTGCATTAAGAGTCATCAGAGATAACAATGTATCTGTTTTAACTTTGACCAAATAAACCAGGTTTGTATTCCTACTTTTTAATAATCTTGATCTTTATCCTTTTAGGAAAATTATTCAGGTCACTCTCTTCATTTGTTATTTATATATCCATTTTAATTATTAACACATCAGTTTGTTTTATATCTACAATGTAGCACTTTTTCTATATCATTCTTGTAGTCTGTCATTTTTAAATCTGATTTTAGATCAGAATCAATTGTATTGTATTGTATTGAATGAATTTATAGGCCGTCCAATCCCGGAGGACTCTGGGCAGCTTACAGAAAAGAAGTAAATTATTAAAAAAAAGAATTAAAAAAGACAAAGAAAACAGATTAAAACCGCACCATGCACCCAATCTGGTCGGGGCTGGACCTCAGTAATGAGGCAACATATATAGGGTGGGGAGGGAGGAGCCACCGGCACCAGCCAGAGGTGGTATTTGCTGATTCGGCAAACCAGTTGAAATTTCAGCTACCAGTTCGGCTGAATACCACCTTTTGTAATGGATGAATGGATTTCCAGAGAAAAAATTGCAGACTACATGACCAGGAGCACTACACAGGTGATCCTGAGGACACAGATAAACCTCCAAGTGCTTCAACGATCCTCTAAAGGGATGCAAACGACCAGCTGTCTGCAAGGAATATAAATCCTTCCATTCCCCACTGTCTTGTCAGAGCTGAAGAAGCTTCTTGGATGAGAAGGGAAATATCTTCAAAGAAAAAAACAAGAAAGTCCAGTTGCCTCCTCAAAAACACACCTTTGTGACTCAGTAGCAATCTCAAGTGGTCCGACCAGCTGTCTGCAAGGAGTATAAATCCTTCCATCCAATCAGAGCTGAAGAAGCTTCTTGGATGAGAAGTGAAACGTCTTTAAAAAAACCACTCCAGAAAGTCCAGTTGCCTCTTGAAAAAGCACCTTTGGGACAACCAAGACCTGGATGACCGAGAATCTCCATAGACATTTTGGAACTACACTTCTACACCTCTGGTTTAGTCATTTAAATACAAATTTAATTTCTTGTTTGAAAGGTAATAAAGGGCTATTTATACTATTTTTTTGAGGAAGCTCCTCTTTCTCAGCTTCATCATATTAATTTCAAGTGTGGTATCAACAGGACATTACTGAAGTAGTCTGATAAGTAACAGTTCATAACAGTTGGAAAAAAGTAATATATACTTACCCTTAGTTCTTCAAGCTTTTCTCTTATTTCAATAAAACCCAAGTGCAGCTTTCCTCCAAAATGATCAGCAAGCCGCCTGTCATTGTCATGTAGGCCAAGATAGGCTGAGCATACTTCACAGACCCGTAGCTTTTGCTGCTGGAAACTGGAAGCAGGCATGGAATTCCGGTACACTTCCTAGAAGATGTATCATAATATGTCTCTTAAGCTCTGAACAACTTACATTCTTAGTACAGAATCAACAATAGTTGATTCATTTGATTCTTTGTGTATGTTGTGTGCTAGTTTTCCTGATTAAAATGAAACAGAAGGTATTATAAGAGTAATAACTGCTATCTGCAAATAAGCAAATATTTTCTTCACTCCCTTTAAAAAAAATGTATTTCCCAACTGAAACAATATTTTGTGGCAAATGAAAACCACTGAGTATATTCCATCGTTTTATGAATGTTTTAATCCTTCTGGTACTTTGCTTAGGGATATAACTAGTGATAGTTTACCAGAATCAGATTAAGGAAATATTCTGACATTCAGAAGGATTCTTTTCTCTATGTTCCAGGCTTCATAAAGGGAAAGAAGTAGCACAAGTTCATTGTACCTAGTATACAATTGAGATGAGCCACAAATAAAATAAAGTTAAACAATTGGTGTGTAAATGTGTACTGTGTATTTAATGAATATAGTTTAAATATTCTTTTAATTATCAACTCCACGAATAAGAATTTGTCCTTCCAGGACTGAAAGAATATACTTTTGTACATGATCAGATTACCTCTGCTTCTCTTTTCTTTGCCCTTGCTTTCTCTACTTCATCCATTACTTTCTGAGACTCTTCCACATTTCCATCAGCTCCAAGTTGTTCCACTTTAGCAAGCAGTTTTCCAATTTCCTCATTTAATTCATGGACTCGTTCAGCCTTTCAGAGAGAAAAGCAATATTTATATTTGCTAATATTACTAATGTTCATTATGTAGAAGCCATATCAATATAAAGCAATAAGACCCTGCAACAATGCAGTTCTTTTGTTCAGCTAGCCATTCCCTTTTCCAGGGTACACTGGCCTATGAATGCAATATGCAGATTTGAACAATAATAAATAGAAATGTTTATATAGGATGCTTATAGTGCTTGAATATAAATAAGGAGCAACATTTCAAAATTTTCAACACTGAAAAGGAATTAATATTCAATAAACATGACTGTAACATAGGAAGTGTTTCATTTCCGCTCAGATTATCTTTACAGACAAAAGTATCTTCATACCACTAAGGCAGAGATAGATAATTAGTGTCTTTCAAAACTTCAAACTTCAAAAGCCCCATCCAGTCACACCAGTAGCAATGCACTGTGAGAGTTGTAGTTTTAAGGCACTACAGTGTTTATCCTTACAGACAGGCAGGCAAAAAAGAAGCTACATTCAATTGCCTCTTCACATACTTGAGGAAAAAAAATAACTTTGCATTTTGCATTCATTGCTCCTCCCCAATATATCCCATTTTTTATTCAATTTAAATATCTGATGGTAACACACAAATATGTACATGTAGCATCTATACTTATGTGTTGTATGCACTCTTACATAAAACTAAAAACCAAAATAATCAAATCTTTGCTCAACTAAAAATTCTGTGTGTAGTTTTGTGCATTGTCTTTTGTTACCTTCTAATTTGATATAAAATGGGACTTCCAAAATTCTTTTATATAAATGCTATATATAAAATCAAGTTAGAATCCTTAGGGAAAGCCTTGTAGTGAGTGAATATTAACTACTTACCTTAGCTGCCACTTCAGCACTGATCTCTTCTTGAGTTTCAGCCAGTCTTTTCTTTGCCACTTCAGTTCTCCTATCACAGTCAGCAATGAATGATTGCAGGTGATCCATCGCCTACCATATAAATCAGAAAAGTACCATACTGACTAGAAATAAGCACTTTTTCAGAATGCAAAAGTTAACAGTAGAACTAAATACTAAATGTATACATTGCTGGTTTAATTATACTTTAATTATACTTTTCTGGAAGATTGTAAAACAAATAAAATTGAGACCATGAATTCTTACTTTCAAGGTAATAATCACATCAACACTTGTATTCACAAATATTCAAACAGATGAGAACAATCATTTTGAAGATTGAGTTGCATATATCACTGATTTAGAACCGAGAAGTTAACAGAAATTAAAATAAAACTGAAATGGGAATTAAGATTTCACATCTCAAAGATTCAAGTTATTCAAATATCCTAAGAAATTAACTATCATGTGATGATGGTTTCAGAAAATCTACTATAGAAATTCAAAGGCTCTGTATTCAATGTTTCAATTCCTCCATGTGTATGTGTGTAAAATCTTTATTAAAAGGGATTCTGGGTAGCTTTTTATTGTAGAAAAAGTTTGTGATTTTTATTGTGCAATCTATTGCCTTTAGTGTGTGCTCCACTTTTTTCCTTATTTATAAGATAAATGGGACAGTGTAACTACCCTGTGTCACTAGGAAAATGCATGCCTTCTAAGATCATGTGCAAGTCTGAAGCTCTTTACATTTTAATTTCAAATGAAACACCTTTCTCACTTCAGCTTCAAATAATTGCACACTTTATTAATAATTGTCAGAAATTCTAAATTAGTTCTATATTAAATAATGCACAATTTGAACAAATTAAATGTTTTTTTATCAGAGCAACCTGGTCTACCCAAATATGGGACGGAGCATACTGCTTCCGCTTTAGTCTTAAAGTTATATTTACCGACAAAGAAATAAAGGGAGACTAGTATAGCTCTATTTCAAACTATTTAGCCATACCCTCTGGGATTTGAACCCCAGCTACTTACATGTTAGGTAAATGTATTAATCTCTAAGCCACGGGCTCTCCTTGCTTTGTCAGCTATACAAGGAGATTGTTTTTTATCAGGGCAACCTGGACTATCTAAATAGTATGCTATCTAAAGCATACTGCTTCCGCTTTCGCCTTTCAGCCCCAATCCAGGAACCTTTGCAGGTAGTTGCTTCAGATTGTTGGTAAATATAAATTTAACACAAAAAATGTTGCAAAAGCAACTGCCTGTGAAGGCTCCTGGATTGGGGCTGAAAGGTGAAAGCAGTATGCTGTCCCATATTAGGGGAGACCAGGTTGCCCTGATAAACAAATCTCTCCCCTGGTATAGCTGACGAAGCAAGGAGAGCCAATGGCTTAGAGGTTAATACATCCATCTAACATGTAAGTAGCCTGGGTTCGAATCCCAAAAGGGTAGGGCTAGCTGATGAGAGCTAAATAGCTTGAAATAGATTGACACTAGTCTCCTTCTATTTCTTTGTAGGTAAATATAAATTTGACCTCAATTTGACCAATTCTCTTTCCATTCTTCATAATATAAAAATAATTTGGTGATAGAACATACGTCAAGTTCAAAGAAAAAGTCTTGCTCTTTTGATGCAATTTCATAATCTGCTCTTAATGCCAAATCATGCACCTTCAGACATTCTCCAAGATCCATTCTCTGAAACACAAGACAAAACAAAAGAACAATTTTACAAGGAAATACTAAATGGATACAAATTATATTATTTCAATATTCAAAAGTATCTATTGTTTAATATATTTTAAATTACTACACAAATTTTGTTTAAAAGTGATCAGTGACATCATACTGGAACAGTAGATCAATACACAAATAAAAAATACAGCACTCTTAGGAGAAATTCTTCCTGGGAAGAAAGAGCTTTTTTTTCAGTTCTTACATACTTTTCCTTATAAGCTAGTGCGCTTAACAAATCAAGTTACAAACCAAGTTATTTAATTTTTTTATACAGTGTGGAAATATACATAATATCCATTGTATTACTTTTTTCAAATTCAGTGTGGATTGCCATTGTCTTCTTCCCAGGGCTGAAACAGAGTGACTGGGTCTATGAACTAGAACTCATGAGCCTGATGTTTTAAGTACTACACCAAACTGGTTCACTATTGTATTACTTTTAAGTCCCATTAAAAACAAGGTTTGAATATACCGTGTTTTCCCGAAAATAAGACACGGTGTTTTCTTTTTACCCTCAAAATAAGCGCTTGGCCTTATTTTTGGGGAGGTCTTATTATTTTTGAGGTGCAGGAGGTGGCGAGCTTGCAATATTTTCAGGGAGGCTTATTTTGGGGGGTCTATTTTAGTGCATGCGCTCAAATGTCTGATTGGACTTATTACCTGGGGTGGTCTTATTTTCAGGGAAACAGGGTATGTCCTTTCATAAGAACAAATGATGCTTGATTCTTTACTTGCCCACTTTGAATAAATCCTTTTACAAGGACTGGTAGAATCTCCTTGCTGGATGGGTAGAGAAGAGTGATAAAAAACCCTATTCTCTGAGAGATATCCTAAATTAGAATGGGGTATAGTACTTTGTTTTAAGCACTTATGGGAATGGCTTATACATGTAGTCCTTGACTTACAACCATTTGTTTGGTTACCGCTTATAGTTACAATGGTGCTGAAAAAAGTGATATATGACCATTTTTCACACTTACTAGCTATTTATAGCATCCTCACAGCTACATGATCAAAATTTGAGCACTTGGCAACCAACATATATTTATGAGAGTTGCACTGTCCCGGGGACATGTAATAATCATTTGTAATCTTCCCACCAGTTTCCAACAAGCAAAGCCAGATTCACTTAATAACCGCATGATTCATTTAACAACTGCAGTGATTTGCTTAACAACTGTAACAAAAAAGATAGTAAAGTGGGGTAAAACTCACTTAACAACAGCCTCACTTAGCAATGGAAATTTTGGGCTCAATGGTGGTTGTAAGTCGTGGACTATCTGTAAAATTATAAAGTAAATTATAAAATAAAAACATTAATACATAATGAAATAAATCATTGGGGTAGGCTAGAGCTTGAGCCAAGAGGCTATTTGGTGTGGAGCCTGATGGAAACAATGGTTTGTTTTTATGCCTGTTTTTACCATTTGGGATCATTGTGAGAGGGGAAGCCGTGTATGTTCTATAAATAAATAAAATTATTACAAAGGTTTACAGTTTAAAGTGGCTGGTACCATAACTTGGACAAGGGAAAAATGAAATACAAAATTTATATTTTATAATATAATTTAAAACCGATATGCATTTAGCTTTCATAAAAATATATAAAGCAATTATTTAAATGTATATGCCACTTCTCTCACTAATAAGGTGATTTTGGGTGGCTATATACATCGCAGATGAAACACTCAGAATTTCTCTTTTCTCTTTCAAAGCTCTCTTTAGCAACTAAGTTGCCTGATTCTTCTTCCACTATAATTTATGCCTAGTTATTAATTGTTCATTGGATTCCCCTTATTCCCCACCATCAGTTTCTTTCCTTCCTTGGCTCACTAAATAAAGCCACCAAAGTTTTGCCTACTTTTCTAGCTCTAATGTAAGTAGGAGAATATAGATAGTACTACTGGGCAGGTAAAGTGTGGACAAGAAAAAAGATAAAGCAAGTGAAAGATCCAAGTCCAAATAGACAATTTAGATATATAACCTCTATTTTACTTGTAATCATTTGCAAAAAGTTCTTGAACTAGAAAACTGCTTCATAATTTTTAGCACTGTCTATAATAAAAACATCAAAACTCATTAAATTCTCTATTTTCACTAGCCAGTATACCAAGGAGTAAGTGATCATTCCAATACATAGATTTAATAATGAAGACTTTTGATATGAACTGCATTAAAGAATGTACACTTTAGAAATCTTATGATAAAATGATTCTATGTGAAAGACTACCTTCAATATTTATGATTATCAGTAATATCACAATTAAAATACTATTTTATGATAAATTAAAACTGGTAAAAGGATAGAGAATACTTTTGATTAACTGAGAGTCAATTTAGTGGTTGAGATGTTGGACTAGGAAGTAGAAACCCAGGTTCCAGTCAACCTTCAGCCACAGAAGGTCACTAGGTGACTTTGGGTCAATCACTTTCTCTCGGCCCAATTTACTTTATTTGAGGTGGGGAAAAATAAGGTAAGAGGATATAACTTCAAATAATAATAGTAATGATGCACATTAAGTGCTTTTCACTTTATTCATGTCAGAAGCATCTTAAAATTATGGACATATACCATCTAATACCGAGCAGCTAAGATATGTGTAAATTAGGTCATAAAGATATAGCACATATGAAAAGTACTGAAAATAAATAGGATTAAAACTAGATGACATTCATCTAGTATTAGGCCACATCAACAGCATTTTCTCTCACCAATATGAGTCTTCCTCTGTGCATGTTGAAGAACATCGTATGCACTGTAACATATGTGAGATGGATTATTCTCCACATTCACAAAAAATGTATAGGGAAGCTCCATTTCCTTAGATTGCCCTTTGATCTTCCTACCCTGGCAATCTCCACACAGGCCAAGGTTGTTCTTGACCGGGCAGCAGATAGTCATGAGGTTATGCCCAGTTGCCTGATAGCTCTTTCTCTAGTAGTGCACTATTGATTGCCTGGTACATTCTTCTCTATTTTTTAAAGTCTCTGCTTATCTCGCCTTTATTTTTGGTAAACTCAAACAGTGTACTTATTAATATTCTAAACTTCCCCAACATAGTGAAATGGGTTGGGCTCAATGTATGGCTTATCTTAAGTTATCTAGCCAGCTTGAAATGTCTAAGTTAGGACTAAAACTTACAGTACTCTGGTTTCTACACCAAACTATCTCTCAAGTCACTTTCTCTCAACCCAATTTAATCATATGATGATAGTTGTAGAGGAAAAATAAGAGAAGGGAGTACTATGTAAGACTGCAGACATAAGAACTATTTGGAAGGTCCCCCCTCCCCCCCAATAATACACATGTTCTGAAGTGTTTGAACCTTCATTAAATCATATGTCAGAGGTTTATGCCAAATAAAAAATAAAACCTTATAATTATTGTTTTGCAAATCTACCTGTTTCCTCTGATGTCATTATTTGTTCTTTATCCACCCCCTTTTGTGACACTATTTATCTCTGTGTTTTGATAAGAGCAGCTGTGAAAATGCAGCCAATTCTAGCATGTAATGAACTCTTCAGAATGGATCTAGATACTGGCTTATTCAGCAAACCACAGTTTAGGCAATCTGTGAAGACAGTATCTAGATCTATTCTGAAGAGTTCATTACATGCTAAAACTGTTATCAACACCATAGAAGAGTATGCTAAAAATTCCCTTGCCAGTAGCCACATTTTATGTATAAGGGATTTTAATATATATAGAAAATTTTTAGGCTGCAGACAAGAAAATTTATATACAGTGCTCTAAATCAGATGCATGAGAACGCCAACAGGCTAGAAACTAGCAGACTGAGTTCAAGACTTCAGACTTCTCTCAGTCCTAGGAAGCAAGCTATGGCAAACCACTTCTGAAATCCTGCCAAGAAAACGTCAGGGAATTGTCCAGAAAGTTTCCAGGAGTCAATATTGACTCAGAGGCATTTCTCTTTCCCACTTTATAGATTAAATAAAATACACAATACATTTTCTTCACTTTGTTTTGCTTTCTCTTCTTGTATGCCAGTGTGACACAAAATGCAAATATCAGTTTAGTACTTTAAATAGAAGTGGTAATGTTGTGTTTATTACTACCACAATAATACATATTAAACAAATTCATAAAATGACATGGATTTGGTTTTAAATAAATATGATTCCAGCTATCATTCTCTGAAGGTAGACAGAGAACTTCAATATCTTCTCCAGTGAATTTGCTCAAGACAGCACTCTTCAAGTATTATAAATCAGAAGAAATGAACAAAAAAAACCCAAAGGTTTTTAGAGAAATGATGGTGAAAGGCAACATCAAAATATGCAGAGGGAACCAAAAATGCCAAATGTACAGATATTTCCCTTCCATTATGAATAAAAAGTAACGATCATAAAAGATCTTCATTTCAATGCCTCCAGAATTATCTTTTGTTGTATTTAAACGTTTTAACCATTTTAAATCAATGAAAACAAGTTAACAAAAAATAGGATATATCACTGACTTCAGCAGAACTCTAGCATTACCAATTTAATCTAGATTCAGCATTCACTTTGTTCAGATCCAGTGTTGTTATGTTATTAAGATCTAGACTGAAAAGACATAGACCTAAGTCCATTTGTACTCTTGGAAATTCACTGTGTGCAATCAAGCCACTCATTCTCACAATAGCCCACTAAGGTGACAGAACCACCTTAGTGAGCTATTGCTATAGGCAGATTGTCACCCTAAAGCCTTCCTGAAATTTATAGGATAATCTAATCAATTAATCAATAAAAGCTTGAGGCTGGCAAAAAGAGATAAAGCAATAGAACTTTAAAGATGCTGAATACAGTTTTTGTAAAAGCAGACTTAAAATTAGAGCCACAAGCAGTAAAAAAGCACAGGTTCTGGATGGCCTTTGGAAAAAAGTTATATATTAACAAAGACTCTTAAATGAATACTTGCAATTCTGGACTATATAAATCTGGAAATCTGTTAAGTTATAGTTTAGCCAGAAAAATTAGATTTAAATTATAGCATGTTTCATGGTGACAAGTCTATTCTATCTTGCTGTAAATCTTTAAATATTCTGCATTTAAAGGTAAATTTCATCTCTGGGCATTTTTGTATGCTAACTGCTTAAATAATAGGAAAATAATACATTATAGTGTTACTGATTTCTTAGCAGTTAATTAAAAAGTTTCCAAATGCATGAATTAAAATTTAATTTGTTATTTATTTTTCTCCTTTTTTGAGAGATGTATAATAATTTTATTTAGATATTTAGGATTTTTCTTAAAGTTAAAACTGAATTTCTATTTTTCAGTTCTGTATGTTATAACTGTGGACTTTTTCTAAGACCAGCAAAAACTAATCATAATCATAGAAATTATTCTATATCCCCCAATTCAGTTACATTGAAAATACTGAGTTAGACTTTTACAATAAAACTTGTCAAATAAGAACATTCCATGAATATATACTTGCAAAAGTATAAAAATAAATAGCCCAGAGGTAGTCAAATAGCAATTTGAAGAACAAAACATTCCTTGGAACAATTTTATCAGGTGCCATTGAAGTCAAACTGTGTGCAATGTTTCTTACAAGTTATACCATGGGCAACTGTTTTCCAGTCTATGTTTTAATATGAAGTATTTAAATTATGAATGCAATAATCTACGACACATGCATAATATTCCATTACTATATGAATTCTACCACTAATAAGGTATGATCAATTTTAAATCATTGGCTTACATTGTGATAAACAATTTTATCCCAAATATGAATTATATTAATTTATTATTAAATATAATTAGTATTAATATTAACCCAGAGTATAAATGAACAAATATAGAAAAGGCAATTCTCGATGTCTCTAATTCTGAAGTTCAGACTTTAAATCTGCTTTTTTATTTAAAGTTATGATGTATTCTGCAGAAGGGAATGGAAGGGAGTAATATCTTTTGCAAAGAAAGCTGATAATTAAAAAAGATGGACAAACAAAATAACAGTACATGAAAAACACAGATATTTTTCTAACTTTCAATTGAAGAGTAGCATGAAAAATAATAGGTTTCTAATTTGGTGAAAAAGTACATGTATTTACTACATCAACTGAATTCTGGAGAACCATTCAGATAATTTTCTATACTAGTATTTTGGAGGAGTAAAAACTGGCATTTGTTGATTCATCCAGGTTTTATGTTTTTGTTAAATGCTTCATATTGATTTTTATTTCCAATTTCAGCATAAAAATAATGCAACATATTGTATTTTATTAAACAATCTGGATTCAAAGCAAAAAAGTTATGTAGGACCTATGTTGATTCTTGAGTCACACTTGTCATAAACTCTTAAAAAGCAGAGTCCTTTTCTGGGTTTGGGCAACAGCTATTACATTATCTCAGAAAAATCTGTTTTTGATTTATTTTGTGCTCATATGTCCGATATACATGCCCATATTTGTACCCTAACCCAGTTGTTGCAAATCCCTATACCTTAATTTTACAATGTAAATACACCATCAAAAATAAGATTAATTAGTTTGAGTACTTCTGCAGGGATAAATATATATCTTAACTTATAATTTAATATTTATGGCTATAATATTTATGAATATAGAATACGCACTGTTCCTGAGAGGACATCATGAGGGCAACAGTTGAGAAGATGACTTTTGCACACTCTGTCATCACTGAATTTAATTCGCTGACGTGTAGTATCTCCTGCAAAATAGAAGTATACATTTCCGATTAGAAAATCATGTAATATTGTATAAAGCATTCATACTTTTCATATAACTTCACTTTTGTTTAAAAGAATATTCTACTTTTCACAAAAAGAAAAATATTAGGACTATATCATTTCAACTTCCGTAATGGATGAAAGTTTATAACTCTACACTGGATGAAAATTCATAGCTTCTAAAACAAATTTATGACAGGCATAAATTAATATTCCTAGTAAAATTGTTTATATTAGCATCAACAGCATTCAAAACATTTATACTACATTTTCTGATTTTATTGAATTCCTGCTGTCAATTCTTCAAAATATAATCTGTAGCACTGATCCATTTACTTCCGGCAGGAGCAACACATACTGAAGTTTAAAAACAAAAACAAATCTGTACTATATCACTGGGAAAACAATGCCTGCAAACAGCATTATTCAAGAGAGCTGAATTCCTCTATTTGATTATATAACATTTAAAGATAAATTGGAACTTTTACAAACTTTTATAAACCCCAAAGCATCAACCTGCTTACCACATATTGAAATTCAATTTCAAGTTTGATATCACATCTGTAAACAAGGTTGGAAAATTTTTATCCAAATGATAAGGCAAAACACTGGCTATTGATTTATTACAGGTTTCTCCCCTGACAATGGGTAGCAGCATATTCGCTGTTTCAGATTTGAAAAATATAATTCCATAAACTGTATTTTCAGTCTAAAGATGCAGAACCAGATACAATCCTTGTATTTCCAGGTTTTTTTTAAAATGGATTTTAAATTATGATTATATAAAATGAAAACCTACTGGTGAATTACTGAAGCAGAATATCACTGCTGGGAAAAAAACCCAAGAGTTTGGAAACTTTATCCCAACATTATTCATTTCAAAAAGGAAAAAGGTTTACAATAAAAACATGTAGCCACTACCCTATTCTCATAAACTTGGAAGAATTTAAGCCTATGCAACAATTCTACACTTCAAATTTTTAATCTAACCAGCCTATTATGCAATTCCAGTATAACTACTTGCCCTAAAAAAGAACTATGATGTAACTTTTTCAGATGGGCTGTACTCTGCTCAAGTATTTGTTTCTGGTATCAATGTTTATCAAGGTTAGTCAAATAAGCAATTCAAGCTTCAGAGTAGTTCAACAATAGGTTTTCAGAAGCTGGGTTTTTAGATTTAGTAATTTTATACTAATGAAAATTTAGAATTGTCTTTAAAATCCACACCTACTACTGCAGAAAATGAGGAACTGGGATATTTTCCCACCAGTTTTCCTCTCTTTTTAAAGACACAAATTGTTGGTTCCACATTAACACATCTGAAAAGTTAGCAATAACTCACGGCTCGGCGAATGCGGGGCCTTTCTGACACTCCCTTGCAGAATGAAGTAGGCAGGCATAGATACATTGAACCTTTATAAATAAAACAAGGGGCTATATTGTTCAGTTTGTATATAATAAACTCTGCCAGCATTTTAATTACAGTGTCTAGAAATACATTGTGAAGGTAAAGAGTAATAGGAAATCTGAAGTATTTGTGCCTGATAGCAACGAGTCAGCTTTGTATTCAAGGGAGATTTTTTAAGGAAAAGTTAACTAAATTATAGCTGGAAAAATATTTTGATTACTAGGCCCCTATGTTCTGTTTATCTTCCGCTTTAAGCAACCTAGGAATTTGCTTAAAAATGTTATCCCAGTACCTAGATTTTCAAATATATTTCCAGCCTTGCTTAAAACACTTTTCATTTTAAAAATCCATTTGTTTCCAGATAAAACTTATCTCAAAATGCAAAATCAGTATTAAAATATACTTGCATGGATTATCAATTTGTAAACATTTTAAAACACAAATTTTGAAATACAGATTGTTCGTCAACATTGAATAACAATGGTAACTGAAAGAGAAATAGGAACTAGCATTTCTTTTTACTGTTGTATATTCTATGTCATCAGGGTATTTTTGCAATTGTCACAATGAATAAATATGAACAAGTTTAGTGTTCTTTAGAAACAATAAGTTCCTTTAAAAAGTATGTCTGGCCCAAACCATATTTCACTACTTTATAAATATGGAAGCAATTATATACTACTTGCATCTCATTTAAAAGACAACAAAAACCTATGAAGTCAATTCCTATATTACTTTTTAATTTACAACATAATTTCGTGATAATAACAATTAGCTTCCTAAAACATGTGTTTTCCACCAAATGATAATTTAGAGGAATCTGGAAATACTAATCAAATTTCATGTTTATTACCAATACATATAAGTAAATATTAAATCTGTCCACAATACATAATTTAACTACATATTTTTCTAGAGCAATAGAATAAAAGTGTGCGTATTTTTTCAGGTGACATTCTATTAACATTCCATTGTAAGCATTCAATTTTTTTAATATATAAAGAGATACCATATTTTTGGGAGTATAAGATGCACTTTTTCTCCCTTAAGAGAGGGTGAAAATTTGGGTGTGTCTTATACACCAAATGTAGTCCTGCCCCCCCACTGGCCCCCAACCTTTGGCCTCTGCCTCCCAGCAATGTGCCTCCTTGATTAGCACAAGCAGCTGATTGTCAGTTGGATCAGCCTCCTGACCCTCAGCTGTTTCAGGCTGCAGGGATTGCCATTGCCTATTGCCACCTCTGCGCACCCTGTTTTCGACTTCCACGTGCCCCATTTTCTGCCCATTCCGATCCCCGCCACCAGAAACAGGTGGAAAATGGAGCGCCTGGAGGCCGAAAATGAGGTGGAAATAAAGTATGGCAGTCTCTGCAAACTAAAACAACTGATTGTCGGGAAGCCGATCCAACCAACAATCAGCTGCTTGTGCTAATCAGGCTGTGCTGAAATTGAAACATACTGTTTGCTGCATGGAGGCAAATTGCCGGGAGGTAGAGGCAGATTTTTTTCCCCTTGTGCTAATCAGGCTAAACTGAAACTGAAAAGGCTGTTTGCTGTTAGAAGGCAAATTGCTGGGAGGCAGATTTTTTTCCCTTGTTTTCCTCCCCCAAACGTAGGTGCGTCTTATATTTGGAAGCGTTTTATACTCCAAAAAATACGGTATGTTTAACTATCTCATTTTGATAATTAGTTTCATATAAACTATTATTTCCTTCCCATCTCACTTCCTACCAGTATAATTACTGTATTTTTTGCACTATAAGACACACTCCCTCACAAAAGTGGGTGGAAATGCTTATGCGTCTTATAGAATGAATATTGCGGGGGAGAGGGTTGGTGCAGCCTGTTGCTGCCGCTCGCCGCCAGGGGACACTGGAGCCTTCGCTGATCGGCAGTTGCATCAGCCTCTCAGAATACCGCTGATCAGCTGTTCTAGGCAGTGGGGATTACCACCGCCTAGAACAGCTGATCGGCAGTATTCCGGGGGAGTCGAGCCAACCGCTGATCAGCTGCTTGGCAGCAAAGGCTCCAGTGTTTTCTGGTAGCGGCAGCAGCTCAGCTCAGTTGGCTCATGTTGGGTGCAAGGGAGCGGAGCCCTGACGAGCCACCTGCTGGGCTGTGATAACGTGCTGAAACTGACCAGGCTGTTTGCTGCAAGGACACTGGCCAGATGAATACCGGATGGATGCTGGGAGGCAGAGGAAGATTCCCCCACCCCCTGTTTTCCTCCTCTAAAGCTAATGTGCATCTTATGGTGTGGTGCGTCTTCTAGTGCGAAAAATACAGTACCGCAGTAACATTACTGATATTCCTATTGTACTATTACTGAAATCTTCCTTAGCCTATACAGATCCTGATTTTATCTTAGCATAAAAATAAGTTTGTTACAATGAAATTGTAAAAAATTAACACGTGAAAATGCATCAACATGAACCAATCTACATGTATATTACATTATAATATTTTAATCTGGTATCCTTATTACAGATAGTGTAAGAAGTATGTCCACAAAGACGACATGAAAGTCAACACGTAACTCTTTCAATAATTAAAGATTGAGGTTTCTGTTTGTGGAGCAGCAATAATCTAAAGAATTCAAGAGCTCAGAAAGGAAACTCTTATATTTTTCACTTCCTGATAGTCGTCCAGATTACTGCTTCCCTATCACGTAAAAAAGCAAAAATGACTGTGTGTGTGTGTATGTGCACGCATGTGTATCAATCAAATAGCCTTTAATTCTTGTTATTAAATGAATACTTGCATAACCAATTATACAAATCCCTCAAATTCCTAATTCAGCAGAAGTTATGTTTCAAAAAAGTAGGACATAAAATATTACAGAAAAAAGCATCAATTGTTTAAAAATAAATAACGAGTTACACATGTAATAACTTTTTATATCTGATGAACCAGAACATTTTTCTGTTAGCATAATTGTGCATGCATCTCTGTGCACAGTATAACAAGTAGGTAGAATCAGTCTATTCATGTAGTGGAAAGATTACACTTGGCATTTACTTATGCAGATATTAAAACTTGTTTAGCCACTTTGAATATTTTTATTACAAAACTATGCAAAACTAAATATTATTAAATAAATAATCACTCAACAGTGCTCTTGGTAATTCATAATACCAAAACTGCATTTAAAAAGTAGTCCTTTAACACAAAATAATTTCTTTTTTTTATTTAATCAAGGATAAAAATAAAAGATAAAATACATATTTCACTTAATTTATTATTACTTGAAAATCTGGGAAATTACTATGCTAAAAAATAAATACAAATAAAAGCAAGTTTTAAAAAACCACAATGAAGGAATATCTAAACTTCCCTTTCTAGTGTTATTTTTAATAATGTGTATTCTACCAATTACCTTCATTTAAACAAATCTCATTATAGATAGGAACATTGATCATAAATATTTGTTTTAATCTTTAGAACTGCGTATGTGGAAATATAGGTCTACAGGTATGTTTATTTCTTTAAAATATTTTTTTTGTTTTTGAAATATTGTTTTCTGACTGTTCTGAAAATATGATTCTGCTAATGCCACTCATGTCTGTTCATAAA